TTGTTGTTGTTTAATATATATTTTTGTTTAGTTTTGCTTTAAATATGTTTTGGCATTTTAGTTCGTGCATTATAATAATAAAACATTGGTGTGCTTAATACTATTCATCCGATTTGATGTACATACATACATACATATCTACAACAAGTTGCTTCGTCTTGTTTACTTTATATATATATATATAAGTTTTATAACTTCAATTTAGTTTGAAATTTCTTTCAAGTTTCTTTCGATTTTATAGTAACTTTTGTTTGCGCGTAATTTCATAAGAATACTTTGCTTTTGCGTCGGCGTTTGTCTGCTTGGAAGTGAGGGTGAAATTAAAATGAGATCTTTTAGATACCAAAACAACGAAATATATATATGTATAGATATAGCTATGGTAATCAAATAATAATAATAGTATTAAAAAAAAAAAAATAAAACAAAATTTCTAGTTAATAGTTTTTGCTTTCTATGAAAAGTTGCATCTGATTTGTTTCTGCTTCTGCTTCTCTTTCTTTACTTTATGCTGCTTCCTCTACTCTTTCGGTTTCTAGACCTTGTCATCAAAGTTGGAGACGGGCCTGTAGGAACGCTGTTTGGCCAGCAGACGCCTTATGTACAAGTACTCGCACAATGATACGAGGGTGAGCACCACAATCGCAACGTGCTTGACATTGTTGGGCAAACTATCCCGATGCACGACCTCCACAACTTTGGGAAAGTCGGCCGGCTGGCAGGGCGGAGCTGAGGCGTCCACCCGGGGAAAGTCGATTAGTTCAGCGTTTGGTGTGACGCTGGGACGGCTGGTGGTGCTGCTGGTGGTTGTGGTGCTGCTGCTGACGATAATCTCATCTGCCAGCGGCACCACAGGCAATTCAGTTTCTGTTTCAGCTTCAGCTTCAGCATCATCGTCAGTTTCGACATCGGCATCTGTTTCTGGCTGGGCTGGCTCCTCGCGCTCATAGCCATAGCCGTCGTCATAGTTGCTGGGCTTCTCGTGGGGCATGGGCGCGCCCTTGGGCCAGCAGACGGGACAGCAGTGGTCCTTGATCATCACCTGACGCTCGCTGGGGCAATTGACGTGGGCGCAGAGCGGTATCACGCACTTCTGTTCGCCCTTTACGCACTCGCACTGATAGCAGCCGTCCTTCCAGCTGTCGCCGTCCTTGAAGTACATGTTCAGGTTCTTTGACTCGCAGATGGCATTCTTGCCCTCGTCACAGCTCTGCTGGCAAATCCGCGCCCCGGAGTTGCACAGACAGCGCTGGCAGCTCTGCAGCCAGTAATAGTTCGTGTTTCGCACGTCCGAACAGTTCGGCTCCGGCTTGCATTCGTACTTGCCACAGCACTGGCCCGGCGTATTCATGTCCTCCGGCTGCAGCTCGACCACAACCTCGCCCTCGTCCGTGTTGCAGCCGGGTATGTTGTAGCACGTCTTGCACATGCACTTCTTGGACAGACAGCAGAGGGCGAACAGCTCGTCCGGCACCTGGCTGCTGTTGTAGACACTGCGCTCCGTTGTCTCCATTGCCCCACCGAGGCCGCCGCCGACCGCATTCGAGCTCAACAGATTCACGGCACTTATCTCGCGCATCTCCCGTATGGCGCTGTCCTCCGGGCACTCCATGTCCGCATCAGCCGGACATTGTATGGGATCACAGAGCTGCGGTATGGGCCGCCAGTCCATCTCTGTGAAAAACACAATAACAAAAAAACGAATTCAAATAAATATTGAGCGAACTTTTTTATGAGCCGTTGACAAAATCACGTATTTTCTTTTTTAAATAAATCGATGGACATGGCATGACTGATGCAATAAATAAAAGCTGTTCACGTATTCCGCGAATGAGACTTTACACGAAACATGCTTAAATCCTTAAACATTTTATGCCCGTATACCAGGCCCAGAGCTTTATGTATTAAATAGTGGCCGAAAGTACTTTAAGTAATAACAGCCGACTTAATTTATTGAAGCGCTTGTATGGGAGTATATTTACATAGAGGTATATACTCGTATATATGTATATAAGTATTATAGAGTTACATTCGTATATATGTATTATATATTATGGAGTTATATTCGTA